CTGGAATGAATGTGATGCGAAGGGGATCTCATGAGAGATTGGGAAATCAAGATTTAAACTTGTCCTCTATTTCAATTAAAGGTAATAAGCCTACTTTAGTTCTCTGTTTTTTTTGTTTTTTTGTTTTTTTTTTCTCCCCCACTAGTTATGGACAGTAGGGTGTGATTATATATGAACCACTGATTGCTACTATTGTTATTTTATTTTCAGTAATGGGGTTCTATGTTGGCTTGTGCAGTTGCTACTTCTGTAGCTCTGATGGGAATTTATCTAGAACTTTATGGAGTAAACAAGCAACACCGATAAAATTTCTTTTTGGCTTAAGTTTATTTCTTTCTTGAGAGATTGAAAGTGAAATAACATTGTTCTGAAAATGTAATGCCCTGATGATGTTGATTCACTTTGTTCAGGAGGATGCAGTTTCAGATTTGGCTCTGCAAACTTTAGTATCAATCAGACTAGAAATTGGTGATGGAGGTGGCTTTGAGGTTTCGGAGGCCTGCATCAGCGCACTAAAAGGTCTTATCGAGCTTATATGTGGTAACCTTGACTCTGGTTAGAAAATCATAGAAATGCTCTTTTGGAAGCGTCCTTGTTCAGCTATTTCTTCGTGCTTAAAACTCGGTCCTTTTTTCTGCCAGAAGAGTCAATCTTTGAGTGCGGTCATGGAGAGGGATATTTTGTTGGTAAGGCTTTGCTCAACAAGGGACATTGAGTTATATTAAATTTCCTTGTGTTACTGTGAAATCTTCATGGCACGCGGAAGTTTTCGAGTGCGAAGAAGTTGTATAAAACAGTAATTCAGTCTTTGCCCCAGGTCAAGGACTTTTGTGACCCGAACAACCTTGGAGCTTGTAACATGACCTCAGACAAGGTTGCAATTACAGCTGCTTGTGCATTAGGACAGCTCGAGGCTCATATGGGGTAATTCAAAGTTCTTTTATTGTTTCCCCTTATGTTATTGTTGATTATAATGTCGACCTTGGTGTTAATATGAGCTTTTCTTGTATAGAAACTTCAGCGATGCAGAGGAGATTCTTAGTGCAGCACTGAAGAAAATGGAAGAGCACTTTAGGTTTTCTATTTTATTTTATTTTGTTGGTGGTAAGTTTGTAATATTGTTTTTCACTTATATATATGTAGGCCCTCATCAAGATTTGTGTCATTTTGATCTGCATTCACTCATGTATCGTCTGATAGCAACTGTTAAGCGCTCGAGCTCCCTTTTAATTAAGAGGTCTGAAAATTTAGTTAAAGGTGCAAATACTATACATTGACACATGTCACACATCTTAGTTATCTATAAACTACCATATACTGACAACTTTATGCCGAAGCTTTAATATGCATGTTTGAAATTCTTTTAAATTATATGCTTCGTTAAGTCTGCATTTATTTTTTTTCCCTAAATTGTTTGTCGTAGAGTTGATGCCTGCATCATTTTCTCGCCTTCCTAATTTTTCTGGTAATTCGCAATGTTCCCTAAATTAGTGTTTGTTAGTATCTCATTATTTTAGTGTTAATGTCAGTTGTTCATTCGTTCCATGGCCCTACCCTTAGGAATTGAAATTTCTTTTTATTACATGTTGCTCAAACTTTTGTGTATGCTTGCCAGTGTATTGTACACTTTATTGATGATTACTCTTGTTCTTTTTTTTTTTTTTTTCCCCCTTTTACGTGTTATCTGTACTACAAGCACCACACAAACACCATAGTAATCTTCATTGTTTTGTTCTCTCTTCTGTCTACTCTGTATTTTTTGATCTTGACTGTGGATTTCTTTTTATACCTATTGATATAGGTTAGTTCCCTCTTATGAGCAGGCTCTGATGGACGTTCGAAAACAAATTGAGCGTGAATGGAGCGCTTTCAGATATGTGAAAAAGAAACAAAGACCAAAGCATTCTCCAAAGAAGACCTTGGCCAACAACCTAGAACGGTGTCATCACATCACTGTGCTCTCACTGTGCTAGCTTTCAAAACAGCCTTTCTTTAACATGCCTGATTATGTTTAATTGCAATTAACTTTTAAAATTTGAGGATAAGTTGTGATTTGCTGGTTCATGCTCATATTCATATTTTTTCTTGTGGTTCGATTTTTCTTATTTGAGGTTGTTTTTTGGAGTAGGTAGGTGTAAAAAACAAGGCAAATGAAGTGCATGCAATGTTGACAAATGTCATTGTAGTGGATGCAAATAGGAACCAGGTAAAGTGTTATTTCTAGATTGGCTAGTCCTGAAATAATAGGGTTGCTTCAATTGCATATGTTGTGCTTTTTAGAAAATATATCTCACACGAATCCGCATAACCTGAAACCTGCAGGATGTACAAAATTTAATTAAAAAATTTATTCAGTCTCTTAACCTGTTGTCCTTGTTGTCCTTGTGGGTGTTTGTCATCAACAGGTGAAATCACCAACTGTACCTCAGGTGCCTCAACACGAAAAATTGTGTTCATGTCTTAGCCCTTACCTTGCAAAGCTGATGGGAGAAAGTTATTTGGGCAATAAAGGCCATTTATGATTGGACTGACGTGCAGGTAAATTGGTCTAGACTTTCTTATCTCTCCGTTTTGACTTCAGGTTTTGTTTGTGTCTTTAATCAGATTATGTTTTTGGCTAACAAAAAAACTTGTTGCTGCTAGTTTTCTTCTTCTGTAAGAGCTTAAACTTAAACTGTGGTTTAGAAGGCTCAAATGCTTTTTGGGTAATGGTTTTGTGTGTAATGATATGGTTTGGTGTACAAATTTTTTCTTCACTTCTATGTGTTAGTTGAAATTTTGGACTAATGCCGGCACATATAGTCATTTTTTTAAAATTAAATGATCATGGTATTGTTCTCTGCATTTGACATTTGATATAGTGTTGGTTTTTATGTTTTTGTGGTTCAAGTGTTGCTGTCCTATTGTGTTTTTAGTTTAAAGTTTTGTGTAAGAATATAAATTGGGATTGGTTGTTCACTGAAAAACTTGGAAGTAAGAAAAATAAAAACCCTCGATTTCAGTTTCAAATTATAACTTAATGGAAAAGAATGCACTAAGAATAACCTATAAACACAAGTTTTAGTGTGTGTGATTCATCTGCATACTTTTACTTTAGTCACCTGTTGAAGTTCGTCCTTGTGGGTCGTTTAATTATTGTGTGACAAATATAATATTAGCTCGTTGGAACAAATATGGGAAGTAGTCGTTCTAGTCAGCAAATTAATGATAACATGTTTCTATTTTGTTGTTGGTCCAACTTTTCTTTTGTACAAAATGACTCGTGTGTAGATGATGTAGAACATTCACAATGGTCGGCCTCCTACCTTGACATATTGAAGATGACATTGAAGGGGATGGCGTTCAAGGGATGGAGCTCACGCTGCCGGTTGACATTACCATTTAAGTTCTCTCTCTTCATTACTATAAAAAAATACAAAAAAACAGCAATCAACAAAATACATGGGAAACAACATATTAATTATTATAGTAAACTTCCAATAAACAAAATACTTGGGAAACGACATAGAATTTTTTTTTTTTTTTTTTTATTAGGCAACACGTAATGAAACTAAGTAACTCAAAAATTAAGAACTCAAAACCAACGTCTAACCACGAAACTAAAAACTAAACTCCTTAATGCCTTCTGCGTATCGGAGTTCCCTCAATTTGACGTCTCAACTTCTCCTGCAACGATTTGTCCGACAGCAACTAGCTTGTCGATGTCGCCTTCTGGGAAAGGTTATCTGATGTTTTTGCTGCCCTCCTTGATTTTTGGGTTGCAGTCAACGATTCCCGGGCTAACCTCTCCGCATTGTTAGCGGCTGCTACCACATTGCGCACTGCTTTAGTCGATTCGGTATCATCCCCCGCCGCTAACTGAACTTTCCCCACCCATTTAACCATAACTTCTGCGGAATCCAGAACTCTTTTGGCAGCCGGCTCCGCATCATCAGCTGTCTCACATGTTTTTGCTGTTTCAATCAATGCATTTCTAATCAATGCATTTTTAACCGGCTGATCCACCGTTGCTGCAAGAGTTCTAAACAACTCTTGAATCACACCGTCGACACCCTTATTTCTTGCTTCATCCGTCTCAGTCTGCCTCAAACGCTCTCGATTCACCGTGTTTATATTCTTAAGTGACATCAATACTAAAGTAAATGGTGCAGATATCATTAATGCCACGCTTTTGACGTAAATCTTGTCCGATACCGTAAAAACACCTAAAGCGAAAGCAGAGCTCAGGCAATCATACAGGCCCGCATTGCGACGACCAGGTTGTACAGAATAGAAATAACAGATGAATGGTCGCACCAAAGACAATAGCGAGCGACCACATGTCGATGGCGAAAGAACTGACGTAGATTCACAGTGATCAACGCCATATCTAAAATTACCCTCCATTTGCGAGGTATTGTCATTGTGACGGTAACCTAGCAAGAACCCATAAATGATTTTGAAGAAACAGAGTAGGGGATGCGCAATAAGAGAGCAAAAGCTGTCTAGTCTGGCAATATTTTCTATCTCTGTTATTTACAACAAACAATGCTATAGCAGGTATAAAAATGATGTTCCACCAAACGACTTTCGCTCTCTTATCGCGAATCCCCTACTCTGTTTCTTCACAATCATTTATGGCTTCTTGCTAGGTTACCGTCACAATGGCAATACCTCCAAATGGAAGGTAATTTTAGATACGACGTTGATCACTCCGTGCATCAACATCAGTTCTTTCGCCACCGACATGTGCTCGCTCGCTATTGTATTTGGTGCGACCATTCATCTGTTATTTCTATACAACCTTGTTATTTCTATACAACCTGATCGTCATTGTTGACAGTGTGAGCCTGTATGATTGTCTGAGCTCTGCTTTCGCTTCAGGTGTATTTACGGTATCAGACAAGATATACATTAATGATATCTTCACCATTTACTTGGGTATTGATGTCACTTAAGCCTATAAACAAGGTGAATCGGGAGCGTTTGAGGCAGGCTGAGACGAATGAAACAAGAAAGAAGAGTGTCGACAGTGCGATTCAAGAGTTGTTTAGAACTCTTGCAGGCGCGGTGGATCAGCCGGTTAAAAATGCATTGATTGGAACGACAAAAGCAAGCGAGGCAGCGGATGATGCGGAGCCGACTGCAAAAAGAGTTTTGGATTCCGCAGAAGATACGGTTGAATGGGCGGGAAAAGTTTAGATAGCGACCGCCGTAGGGGATGAAGCCGGATTGGCGGAAGCAGTGGCGAATGTGGTAGCATTCGCTAACGATACAGAGAGGTTAGCCAGGGAATCGTTGGTTGGAGCCAAGAGATCAAGGACGACAACAAGGGCATCAGAGGACCTTTCCAAGAAGGCGGCAACGACAAGCTAGTTGCAGTCGGGCGAATCGTTGCGGGAGAAGTTGAGATATCAAATTGAGGGAACCCCGCTACGTAGAAGGCATTAGGGGGTTTAATTTTTAGTTTCGTGGTTAGAAGTTGATTTTTGAGTTACTTAATTAGTTTCATTAAGTACTGCCTAAGAAAAAGAAATTTTATGTCAGTATTTTGTTTATTGGAAGTTTGCTATAATAATTAATATGTAGTTGATTACTGTTTTTTTTAAATTTATAGTAATGAAGAGAGAACTTAACTGTCAAAATGTTGATTTTTAGTTTCACAAAAGATTCCCTTTTTTTATTTCATGAAAATTTTGACAGAAGATTCTCTACAATTGTTTTCTAAAATGGTTGCTTTTCATATAATCATAATATAATTCTCTGTAAACTATATTTGTTCTTATTGATTAAGTTGAGGGGTTATGAGCTGTTTACACATAACTCACGTTCGATTAATTTTTTCTTGTTTGTCATCAATGAACATTGTAATTAAGCAGCCGATGTCCTGTGTGATGTCATTTGTGCTTCGTCATATTCTCCTTATACATACAACATAAATTGGAACATAAATAAAGTATTACATAATAGCCATTAAATGTTACTATAGACAATATGTAACACAATTATTGCTAGGTGTAGCAGTTGCCCTTGCTACCTTTTCTCTAAGATATTACTTTTGACAACTTTTAGTAACACTTAATATAAGTGTTACATAAATTAACTTTTGTAACATTTTGATGCATCACTTAATAAATGTTACATAAGTAACACTTTCTTTTATTAAATGTAACATTTCTTCTATAATTTTCTTAATGTAAATGTAACACTTTAATTAAATTATTTTTATTATACAAATACCATATGTTGTTAGACATTATAAACCTAAAATATAACAACCAAATAAACTTAAAAAAATAATTTAACGTTTTTATCATATTTAATGGCAATTGTAGTTTAGAGTTATGGTTCATGGTTATTAGAGCACTCACAATGCTTTGGGTTTCTTAGAAAAAAATCACAAGCAATGTAGAAAATAGACCTAGTCTATAAAAAAGTGTTTCGCAATGCAATTAAAACTGGACCTAGTCTAGTTTATGTGGCAATAAAATAAAGAGACCAAGTCCACACTTGAGTCTATTTTGGATCAAAGTACAAACCCAAACACTCATCATTTATTCCTCATTTAATTTTTCTTTTAATAAAATAAACATATTAGAGCATTTTTATTGATTGACATGTATGCTAGACCTAGTATTTTATTTTTGCATTGAATAGTTTTTGAGTTTTTTTACTTGGGTTTGTCCATGTCATTTGGAATTTAAGTCTATTTTTCTTATTATAAATGTTCTTTTACATGGTTGGTTAATATGAGTTTAACTAAAAATATATTGAATAATTATTTTTAATTTTCATATTTAATTTTTAATATATTTTGTTTTATGTATATTTCCTGTTATTATTTTATTTTGTGATTGTTTTATTTTTTTTATTATTTTTTGTTTGAATAAGGTTTCAAGTGCAAATACAGACCTAACTATAGTGTATCTTGTTAGAACACTATCATCACAATTAGCAACCTGTCAGAAAGTAATATATACACACAAATAAATAT